ATGTGCTGCCATCACGTACAACATTATCTGGACGGTTATTAGATAAAGAATTTGCACGTGTGCAAAATGCTATTGACGATGAGTTAGAAAATGCAGAACATCTAACCTTAAGTAAAGAATTGTTTTTTTTAAAAAAATGTTCAGAATCGATTATCATTTTAGTCAAAACTATTTATAAAAAAAAAAATAAATAAAAAATTCAACCCTGATTGGTTTTATTTAACATATTTTCAAAAAAAAAACTCTCATATAACTGGTTTGTTATTTATATATTTATATATTTATGTATTTTTTAATCTTGATTTTAAAACTGCAATTCTTATATCGATATATATACTTAATAATAGGGCTTTGATTGATAGATTTAATTGCCGTCCAAATATAATTAGTTTTGGACTTTAGAGATTAGCCATATTCGGATTAGTCAAACCCTTTTTTTTTTTTTTATAGAGCTCCAATTAGTAAAGTATGTGCTATTGGTATGCACAGGATATAAATTCAATCTTATATATCCCAGCAAGTCCCGAATAAAACTGCCCTTAGTGTTCTAAGAAAAAAAGATTCTACTTATAATTTTGGTGTAAGTTTTTATCTAAATTATTTTTTTACTTTTTCAACTAAACTCTAACATTGAGATCTATCTTGTGACCATGATGATTATTAATTGGATTTTTTTATATTTTATATCCACAGTTTTGCATTTTGCAAAAAGAAGTGATCTCTGTAGGTTACAATGTCATGTGAAAATCGGAAATTCTGTGGATTTTAAAAATATTACCAATTTCAAGTAAATATAAAGATAATTGATCGAAAATATAAATTAATAGACAATTTAAAACTTAAATTTTCGTCAATCATCACAGAAATCATGAGGGCATATCTTTTTGCAAAGTGCTATAATGAGAATCGATTCTGAATATCATATTCGATTCAGAAATTTTGCATATTAATAATTTTTTTTTTATATTATAGCTCTTGATGGATGGACTTCGAAGCATGGAGATTCTATATTTAGCTATATTGTAACAACTATGGAGCGAAGAGAATATTTAATTGCAGTAAAAAATTATTCTTCAAAGTCTCATACTGGCAATTTTTTGGCTTCAGAAATTTCGAATATTATTAAACAAATTGGACCTAAAAGATTCGCGGCAGTTGTTACAGATTCAGCCTCTAATTGCAAACTTGCAAGAGAAAAAATTCAAAAACAATACCCACATATCTTGAATATTCGTTGCATCGCCCATGCCATTAATTTGATAGCTGTAGATCTAACTAAAATTGCTGAAATAAAGGCATTTATTAATCGTTGTGGAAAATTAATAAAATTTTTTACTAAATCGCCTCAAAAGTTGGCATTATTGCGACAAGGATTAACTAATATGAAAATCAAGTCTGAAGGTCTAGAAACATGGTGCCCAACTCGTTGGGGGTCTTTATATAATACTACAAATTCTATATTAGTTGCGCGTCCGGTATTTGACTGGGTATGCAAAATTTTTTTCCTAAATAGTTATGTAATACTAATTAATATATTATACTGGTATGGATAGATGTTGCTCGAACATCCCGGGTCATTTACAGATATAGAAATTTTTAATTTGTTACACAACGAGGGCTTTTTTATCACCTGCCGACAAGTTCGTTCAATCTGGAAACCAATAAAAATTTGTATAAATGCCTTAGAGGGTGGCTCTGCGTCTTTAGCAGACTGTTTTATATACATGATTAAGTTGGCAATTGCCATCTATCATATTCCCGATTCAATTCCATTTAAACCTGTTATGATTCAACTGTTCAACCGACGTTATGTAGAATTTCAACACCCGTGTTATCTATTATGTTACTACCTTCATCCATTCTATCGTGGTATAAAATAATTTTTTTGATATATTTAGCTAATTATTACATTACCAAATTTGATCAGTTTTTTTTAATTAGGAAAAGGGCTTAAGAATGAGGCATTCCGTAATGCTGCTATAACTGCTTCAACCATATGGAAAAGTTATTCGCATACTGAGCAAGAATGCAAGGAACTAATATCCCAGTTTCGTTATTATGATGCTAGGAAAAAACCATTCGATCTATCTTATGTTCATGGGCTTGATACCCCTATGTTATGGTGGGGATCTATAAAAAGCAAACCACGCCATCTTTCTGAACTTGCGCAGAAACTCTTTAGCATTACACCATCTCAGGTAGTGTTACAAATTGACAAAATTTTTTCAATCGCTTGAGAACTCGATTTATAAAAGATCAGCTACTATCTAAATGTTTGATATATTAACTAATCAATTAATCGATTAGTTGACGAATCGATTAATTGATTGTCAACTAATCGATTAGTCAATTAGTTGACAAACCGATTAATCAATTTGTCATAACAAATCGATTAATCGATTCGTCAACTAATCGACTAATCGATTAAGTTGGTTTAAAAAATGGAATCGATTAGTTGTCAACTTGTTCAACTAATCGATTTTTTAACTTCAATTTGTATCACTAATCTCAGGCCAATTGTGAAAGAAGCTTTTCGACCCTTAAGTGGTTTATTGGTGACAAACGGGTACGTCTTGATGTTCAAAAGCTTGAGGAAATGGCAAAAGTTAGGTCATATTACATGACAAATATTAGGAATGAACTTAGCTGTTTGGATGCTGAATTGACTGAATATGAATTGTGCGAAATGGTAAATCTTGCATCGATCAATAATTTTATTGAAGATGAGAAAGCTGAGGAAGATGAAAATGAAAATAATAATACATACGATGATCTGTTAACTCGTGGTGATTTGATTTTGGAAGAAACCGTGAATTTAAAAGATCCCATCTTTCAAGAAAATGATTTTATACCATGTGAAGCTTCAACTAATGCCTCAAGTGATACAAGCGATAATACTGTTAAAAGCAGCATTGATATGGATTTTGATCTGGAAAGTCTTGTTGATACCATCCTAAATGAATTAGACGATTAATATAATGGTACGTATCATCTTTGTTATTTCTATGATATTTTGGGTTTTAATATTTCTAATGAATTTGGTCTTAAATTATTAGTAATATGAAAGATCGCTTGCAAACCTGACTAAATTGTTGAAAATTAAACCATTTGAAAACCTGTGAGCTACTACTGTATAACATAATTCAAATAAATAATTTTGAATTAAATATTTTTTAGCAAATTTCAGTAAAGTTAATAATTAATAAAAATGCTTTTTTTGATTACTTTGAAAATTATGTAAAAAACTTATATCTATAATAATTGATTAACTTCGATTATTACTATTTTCATAATTTTGAAACATCTAATAAAATTTGGTCGAATAATTTTCAACCGATTTGATTAAGTTTGTAATTTCAACAGACTGTTAACATTGTTAAATTTTAGTTTGAATGCTTATTCAACATGTTTAGTGGGTCAATAAGTCTTAACAAGAAAATATAAAAACGCACTAAATATTAATTATATAACTTTTTATTGGTTCGTAGCCCTTCAATTTGGCATAATTTTAAGAATTTCATGGATTATAATTAGTGATGATATGTGTATTAATTAAATTTAATGTGAGACGATTAACAAGGACGGAAAATTAAAATTCGACACGAAGCTCTTTTTTTTTTGAGAAAGATCGTCGCATGGGAGAAAATAGGAAAGAGGCCTTTTTTTTTTTTAAGTTTTTTCACACACTTTATGGTATATATATTTATGATCTATGGTAGCTTATGGATCAAATGTACTTAAGAAATTTTGAACTCGGGGGGTTTTTTTTTTTTTTTTTTTTTTCTTAGGTAGTCTTTCTAAATTTAGTTGAGGTATTAATAGAGCTTACAGTATTTGGACGCGCCTCATGTTAGTTTTTATATTGCAAATGTTATTGCCTTCAGTTGAGCAATACTCATATTAAGCCGTGACTATGCTAGTTTGATTTTCCTTATATAAAATTT